CGTTTTTACTTATCCTGAATATGCACTTGGCCCAAATTACTATATTATAGTATCAAAACTAAATTAGCCTATAACACAATGTGTAAATTAATCCCTGAGGATAAAGGGTTCAATGTTAGTTTGATAAAGGAAAGGATTGGAGGCAGATGGGGTAATTGGGTGTTATTATGTTGAGACTAAGATGAACAGTCTGTTAACATCATGCAAATTCTCTGAGCCCTACCAGCTATATCCCAGATCAAAGAGTCAATGACTAACTTACTTACTCTGGAGTAAGCCTTTTCTGAAGATAATTATCATTGGTTACACTACCAAAAGTACGTTGTTTTCAATACTTCAGCCTTGAGGTTTTTATATTTGGGGGATCCAAGGGTTTTTGAATAAACCTGCCGGCCCTTTTAAGCGGCAGATGGCCTAAGACAGAAAAATGATATGTTAACATCGTAAGCTGCTTATTTCTCGCAGGATTCTTATGTTTTCACCCCCTTTGGGTTTGGGTACAGCACCCAAAGTCCTCAAGGGAAAGCTGTGAAGCAGCTGCTCTTTTAGGGAATCCATGAGGATGGTAGTGTGGCTCTGGCTGCCAAAACAGTTGTCCCAACAGGACATTTTATACTCTCTTTAGAGCTTTGGATCTCTCTGAATACCAAACTCTTCAGTGTATTGTCAATGCTATTAATAAAACAGTGCACAATTAACTGATAATGAATTAATGGCGAACAAGAGAAAATATTAGGTGACCTTTCAATAATTAATTCAGAGGCTGAGCTCTGGTATTTGTTCTCTGTGGGCCAATCAGAGGATTTACATTTTCAACAGACACCTTAACATACAATATGCTTTGTCAAGTCCTCTTTAGGGGATGAGCCTAGAGTTTAACATACTAACATTTGTACTAATGATGTCTGATTTTAAAAAGAATAAACTGAATTTGTTGTGTAATATCGCATCTGCTTTGTTAGCAAGTTAATTTAGATTGTTCCCTAAGGGGAAACTCTTTAAAATACTTCAAAAATATATTGACAAGCTCTTATTTATTGGGACATCTCACATAACTGGTCTTTAATCACAAACCAGTCCACAAACAAACATACGTTACAAGGGTTAAAAAAGACAGAGAGCCAACTTCAAACATGTTATTTATTTCCTGAAGTGGAGTAATGGAGATCCATACATACCTGTATTGATTAAAAAATGTAATATTGTGCTAAATTGTAGATGCTAGTTTATTGTTTCTCTAATAATGTGGACTTATCAATTCAAACCACCAGGCGACGTCTAGAGCAGACTATTTGTTTGTTGTTTCTAATTCCCCTAAGGGTTTGTACTTTTAATAAGGTACTTTATGTCCCTGGTGCACCAAGTGCAGTTGTGGTTAGTAGACCTGCAGGTGGATTCCTGCTCCCAGTCCCAAACAGAATGCTGTGGCATGCTCTGTGAACATTTTCTTCACAGCATTTTAATTATACTTTTGTGAATATGTTGTTCTTGAGGGACAAGGCTGCTAATGCCATTCATTTGATCATATGCAGGGATGGGAGAAAAAGTATTCACCAAAACTTTGACTACAAAGAGATGAAAAGAGGAATGACTTGGAGGGGACTATAATAAATGTGCCTGACAGGAACTTAAAACTTTACATTTCTAAAGTGTGAAAGAAATAAAAAGAATTTAAAACAGTTGATACTCAGGGATCAACAAGTGGAATGACAGGAACAAGGCTGAGAACAGATACAACTGCCTTAAGAGGACTGCCTCAAGCTCTTCCTCGGATAAAGCTTACGAGACAGCAGAGCCTGAGAGAGTAGAGCCTTTGGGAAAACTAGACTATTAAGAGGAATTTTTAATTTGCAATTTCATGTCCACTTTTCTTCTGAAACAACGGAAAATACTATATCTACTTCTAGTGCACACAAAATTCACGGGGTGACGTGGCGGTTGGCTCAGAGTAGTGACTAGCCTCGCCGCAGGGCAAACGGTCTACGTCATATTAACTCATATGTTCCTCCTGGACATGGCAGCCGTCACAGTCATTTAGGAGAGATTTATCACCGTCTGTCTTATGAGGAGTCCTTTGACATTTCCATTCGTCACATGACAGCAAATCACCGGGCAGATGCGTGGGCCGTTGTGACGTTTTCCTTTTCTGGTGCCACTGTGGACGTGAACATAACTTGAATCATGGTGTCATAGAAATGGTTATTCATTGTGATAAGGAAACAGAGAAAGATGCAGACAGTGTAATAGAAATCAAATTGAAGCAGAGAGACGAGAAAATATTCTGAGAAAGTTGGTTATGCAACAGGGGACTGATGGGAATGAAACCAATGTTTCATAATGCGTTGTTGCCTGAACACATTGGATTTCTTAGGAGAAACTGGATTGATGGATTGATGGGAGGGTAGGTCAACAACTGGGTGCTTTAGATGGGATTAGATGTGGGAGGAGCAAGAAGAAGAGTGACTCACAACTAAAAGGTCTACTTGCTATGGGGAGTTGTAAACCAAGGATAACTGATTGCGTTTTACATGGAAATTGAAATAAGGGGTTGGTCAAAAGGGACCAGTTATTAAATTAATGAGGCTGTGACTGGAAGGCTATTGCCCAGCACAGTATAATTTAACACACAGCAAATACATAGACACACATCTAGTGCTGCAGATTAGGTTGTACCATTATAGAGAAACAAGGATTTGTCAACCAATGAATTAGCTGATCAACAGAAAAACAACCAGTCGATTGATCCTTCAAAAATATTTTTCAAGCACAGATAGGTGAAGGTGTACATATGTTGTATTTTCTCCCCCAAGTTAGTTTTGACTTAACACAAATATGTTACTTATCATTGACCCTGTAAATCTGTATAGAGGAGAATATTGGAGTAGACGGATGGGTCAAATTAAAACGTAAACTTCACACAGATGACCGATGTTCGTGTCCTATATGAAACACAAGTCAATATTGGCTCATTTTAACTTCCGTAGGTTACCTTTTCGACATAACATTGCACTTAATTCTCAGCCAAGCCATGATACTTTACTCAATTTAACCAGGTAAAGCTTTTATTGATTTTGTTTCAGTTCGGGACATGGTTGACATGGACATAAAGTGAATAAGATAATAACCCTGAGGACACGGGACATACGAATTTCATGTGTTGACTAACACATCTATATCTATTCACTAAGGTAATCAAAGAGTGTTGTGGAACAAAATTACTCAAATAAATGGTGTGAATAATACATGAAAAGAATGCATACCCAGGAGAATAAGCACATTGGTGTGCTATGCCCTATAAACGTTCAAATCAAATGTAATGGACATTTGAGTATATGACGCATCTGTGAAGAAATTAAAGTTGAATTCACCAAGAGAGGCAGCCATACAGGAAAATTAAAGTGGCCGATAAATCTTGGGGGGATGCAAGGAAATATGAAAAGTGGGAACGATAATAAAAGCAATAGAGAAATGGACAAGCGTACGAATATGGATAAACAGGGAGCCTTTAAGTGGTGAAGTACAAAGAAAAACAGTCAGTCACACACAAATATATGCAGGCAGGTATAGACAGAGGCAGCCAGGTGGACGCTGACTTAAACTGAGTTGTCTGACATTGCTGGTTTGACTAGAATTATTCATTAGCCCCCTAACACACATATCTGACATAACCCCCCTCAGGTGCTTCAAAAATGTCTCCATTTGTCTCTTTCACTGTCAGCAAATGCTACTGGTGTGTGTACTTTGATTCACAAAGTAGAAGCAAATTAGATCATCCTCTGTTCATTATAATACAATCAACACCATGTAAAAAAAAAGGCTGTTTATCCAAGAATACAGCAACACTGGAGCATGAAATTAAGAACAAGAGAGCTTTACGTCTGCAGTGAGTTACTGATGCGCAAAGTAGTCCATGACAGGGACATGTAAGCTTGTTAGCGACCAGTTAACATCAATAGCAGTACTGGGGGGAGCAGGCTGGGAAAGCAATAGGCTGCAGCAGGTCGATTGCATGCGCTGAAATCTCATTAGGCGTTATTAGGCTGCCCTGAAGGCTTTCTCCCACATGCTGGAACTCCTACCAAAGGGCCCTCGGAGGTCAGGATATATAATAAGAGCTGTATCTCGGAGAGCAAATTTAGATTGATCACAGCGAGACTGGAGCCCAGTTGTCGACTGCTGTGTGTGGATATGTCATCACCATCACTACCATCATTAGGGTTTAACATTATCATTAAGCAGAATGTGGACAGCAGCTTTTTGTAGACGGGGTTGGAGGCTGCAGGAGGGAAGTTTTAGGAGCAGCATAAACTAAAAATTAGTCTCACATAGTCTTTTCATCTTATAGGGGAGCCTATACATAGCTATGTTGCTATGCTATGAATGGACAATCATACTACCAACAGCTTTACCTCAACTTAGGTCTCAAGTGAACCATGTAAAAATAATTGGACGATCCAATAGCCTGAAACCCTTCTTGCCTACTAAAGAAATTAGATACTGCATTGTCAACATGGATATTTTATGAAAGTGAAGATAAGGAGGAAAGTTATTTGGGTGATGACACTGATGCAAGGTAGCAGAGCTTGAGGTGAGGAGATGGCCAAGAGGAAGGAGACAGAGGAGTACTTCGAAGCCCAGAAGGAGGTGTGGTGTCAGTGTAAATTGGAAGGGAAGGGTAGAAGATACAGATTAAGGGCAAAGAGAAAAACAACATGTAGGAGGAGAATTAGGATGTCAATGTGTGTGCGTAATGTACATGTATGTGCTTATGTGTGGGGGCTGTGAAGGAAACAGGGGAGAGATGCAGTGCAAATTAGAGGGTGAGTGGCATAAGAGGGAGAGAGAGAGGGAGGGAGGGGGGTGCACAAAGGCTCTGGGGGAGATGAATACAGCTGTGCAGAGAGATGGGGAGATGCACAAACAACAAAACAACCAACACCAGCCCACGCATCAGGACCAAATGATAGGCGAGACCGGGGTTTGTATTTAGATGGAAGAGATTCAAAGATATCTTCATTAAGGAAGGAAGGAAATCTCAGACTCTCACAACACTTGGGACAGAGGAAGAGAGAAGAGTGGGGGAGGAACCAAAGAGAGAAAGTGACCTGAGGTGAAAAAAGGACCCCAGAAGACTGCAACAGGTAAGAAAAAGATGGAGACATGATAAGAAGTCTGTACAAAATAAAAATTGTTAAATTGTTTTCATTGTACAAAAAGATCAAATGTTAAGGAAGAAATTATTTATATGGATGTGCAGGAACAGGCTGAGCAACACATTCAATATATAGATTATTCTGTAGCAAGTCGATACATGGCAGAAGGGAAATAGATAATAAGAAGTGTTGGCTTAAAGAAATTGAAAAAAGGAGCACGCATAACCCAACATGAATAGTATTTTAGAGAATTTAGAGAAAAAAAGATTTAAGCCTATAAGCTACGAACAATGCACAAGAAAATGAATGAAAATATTTTGGCATAATTTAATCATCAACTGGCTTATGTAAAATAAACAGCTTAGTACCATTTATGGCTCTTTAACTTTCATTATGGCCATTAGAAAAGGAAACAGTCGTGTTCACATGCATCATGATTTATAACTGCAGGGCTGTGTGAATGAAAACCTAAATATTTAATGCTATGCTGAGGTGACACTATAATTGGAAAAATAGGAAACACAAACACATGAATGATGGTTTTATATAGTGTGTATAAAAGTAAGACTTAAGGAGGGCTGAAGTCTATTACTGCCAGTTAGATTTAAGAAGAGGAGCGTGGCATGTGAAAACTAGACAATGGGAGGCTTTGATGAGTGAGAGACAGGATTAGTTGTAAGAGAGGTGATGAATAAACCATGAGTTTGCAGCCACATAAATCAGCATGTGACAGGCTACATTTACCTGCAAGAAAGACGTATCAACGAACATGTAAATAAGTAGGATGGGCTTCATCGCTCTTTATTTTCAAGCCGCAACAAATGAACTCATTGACCAGGAAGTTTCCACCTTTTTTTTTAAGTAAGAGGACAAAGTTTTATAACATCAAAGCCTGAGGATGGCTGCTGTTTAAAACATTTTTCCCTTAGCTGTGGGATCAGATTTGATCATGTGCTGCCACCCTATGGTGAAACAATGCTATTCCATGACATGCAGAAGAATGACTTGTGATCTGTTTTTGTTTCCCCGAGCACAGCCGCTGACCTCTGGCCTTTCAATCCACAATGTCCGCCCTGATGCACACGCTACTGACCCTCTGCCTGACCTTCAAACAGGGGTGAGAGTCCAAAGGCTGAACACTCATGTATAGGGTTAACAACACGTGCTGTCAGAGATATTCGTATCGTTTGAAAATGCAATTTCTTAGCTTAGTCCCCAATGTTACGATCCATCTCGTGTCTCATTTATCTCTTGATTGCTGTCAGTGGTTGTACGTACTCTGGCAATCACTGGGGCGAATGGAGCGACTCTCAGCTGCAGCCGACAATTCAGAAGCTGATGAAAGGATACAACCGCTACCTCAGGCCTAATTTCAATGGTAGGGATGAGCGTGATTGTTTGATTTATTTGAGTTTGATTGTTTCAATTTGGATGCTTGTGTATCCCCGAAAAAAAGCCTGATGATTTTCAATTCCTGTGTGTCGGTCTTTGATAGAGGGTCCTGTGGAAATTGGAATGAGTCTAGACATCGCCAGCATTGACGCCATCTCTGAAATCAACATGGTACATTACTATTACTTAGTTTTGTCAGTAGGTGAATGAAGATATGAATGAATAAGTATTCCTTACATATTTTTGTAGGACTACACTGCAACCATCTTCCTCCGTCAGCGCTGGCGTGACTCCCGCCTGGTGTTCCCGGGGAATGAGAGCGTCAGCGTGGACGGGCGCCTCGTGTCCCTGCTGTGGATCCCTGACACCTTCATCCCCGACTCCAAGCGCTCCTTCCTGCATGACGTCACAGTGGAAAACCGCCTCATCCGCATCTTCAGCAACGGGACCGTTCTCTACGCCCTACGGTACAGGTTTAAGTTCATTGATTGGACATTTAGTGACATTTCTTACTCCCACATGTGTTACAAAATACACATTCTGCAGAGCCAGTATGTGTACAAATGACCTGAGAGAAAAATGAAAGGGGGACACTTACAGAAAAGAGCAGGAAATGAAGGGAAGGCACACACAAACAATTTCATGTTGTTTGCCGTGGTAATCAACCGGGTTCTACAAGAAAAAGCAACAAAACACATTTATTTATCATCACTTATAAGTCATATCACCCTCAATCTCCCTGAATATCTGTATTTTGAAAGCTCTTCAAACTAAACAAATTGTGTTAGGGAAGATTCCCCTTTAGCCACAGTCCAAATTCATTCTGACATCTTATCAGACATGTCATAGAGGATTTCATGCAGCTTTACTGAGCACAGAAATGCAAGAACATTCCTTACTCTTTTTGAATAGAAGAACACATTTTGATTAAACTGTTTTAATTAAATGTGTTTATTTGAAGCTGATTAAGCTGTGTATTTATAGTTGCATTGTACTTCAGATCAATATTGTCCGTGTCCATGTCTACCAATTACAAATCTACAATGTTTTCTTACGCAATTAGTAGATTTGACTATACAGACTGAGAACATCTTTAGGTTAGCAATATATCAACAGGAGATTTTCAACATACCAAGTCAGCAATTTATGATTAATTAATGCATGGGATGGGATACATAATAATCTGACACTTCAGATACGAGACTTTGTTCTTTTGATCGATGCATAAAGGGGATAGTTCTTTGATTTCAGTTATTAACCTCCCTGTCGTACATCAAAGGAGTACCAGTGATTCAGGGGAGTTGTTCTAATGATCTTGCCACTGTATGAATATACAACAGCATCACAGCTACCATCGCCTGCAACATGGACCTGACCAAGTACCCCATGGACAGACAGGTGTGCACCCTGCAGCTGGAGAGCTGTGAGTATCTGAGAACTCATCACCATCACCATCACCATCACCATCATCATCATCATCGAACGACAACATCTGGGTTGTGAGCACCACACTGAAATGTTATTTGTAGCAGGTAATTAAAACTGTAAAGTTGTGCAATAATATTTTCATAGTGGTGTTTATTTTTATGGCTGACCCGGAAGTTAGCAAAAAGCAATGGGATTTTTTCCATTGGATTTCCGATTTGTTTATAAAGTTATATCTGTGGCCAACACAAATCTATGATGATTGCACATTATGTTCAGAAAGTGTCCACATATTACGGAGCACCTGAACTTTAGGGACATGGAAAAAAAAAAGAAAGAGAGAGAGAAAAAAAGAAAGTCAGGATAACGGGTAAGTATCTTGTGCGCACAAGAAAGTTTTTCGTTATTCTTTCTTTTCATTCAAAAGCGTTATCGATTTCAGCATTAAGCTCAACAAAACTGCATTTCATATCAAAGGTTTTTCCACTGTATGCAGCAATCCATCACTAGACTCTCTCTGAGAGACTATACTGTGTGCAGTTCACACAATAATATCAGTGTAGTTTATGTCAACACTCGTTCTAAAGCTGCAAGGTCTGACACCTATGTAAGCTGGGTAAGCTCC